TATTATAAGTATGTTGCGTACATATTGATTTAATGACATTGTGAGTTATATTATCTAAATCCGCTCAAAAGAATTCGGTTAAAGCAAGAAAGATAACAATACTGATAGTGATTGGGGTGATACGAGGCTATAGGATAAATGGATGCGCCAGGACAGAAGAAAATATATCACAACTGTTCAGCAGACAGCCAGTATTTTCTACGAGTTCTAGTCTGGTGCTAAGACTGATAAGGCTGTCTGAAGATACCACTGAAACGTCTGGGAATATACCAAATCCACGATTCGACATATGGAGTTGTCATAACTAATATAGCAGAAGACTTCGGATAAAGTGTGTCCAACTAGGTCGCCCTGACAACAAGACCCAGTTGCGAAGACGAGGTCAGACAACTTCTCTTATTTTATTCACTTCGCCTCCATTTATATAATCCTTTTTTTCTTGTATTAAGACCTAGATTTAAGTAAAGTTGATTTACGAAGATGATATTTTCACAAGCTTACTATCTCTCCTTCATCACCATGTGCTATTGGCTAGTCCTAGACAGCCCTCTGACACCATATGTCCATCGAACATGCATACAAATGACATTGTCAACGCCAACTCTCGAATCAAGATTTCTATGCGTGACGAGCTTCTGCTCCTCCTCAATCCGATCCATGGATTTAGTAGTTCTTGTGCTCTTCTCTTTGGATCCTATGAAAGGAGAAATTAGTATTTTTTACTGGAAACTTGTCGATCTGGATCTTTTCTTGGCTCGTGTAAATTACATGTGGACGAATTACTTCTTCTCCCTTTAGCTTCATATTTACGTCAAACTGAGTTTTCCCGTCTTGACCTGCCTCTCCTGACGATGCACTATCCTCGCGACGGTCCCTATGCACCAAATCCCAACAAACAGACATTCCTTAAAAGTAGTATTAACAAAAATAGTACCATAGATCCTTGTCAAGTGAGATGGAGCGCAACGAGCACCTGTTTCTGAGTCGACGAGAGCACTGGCATGTTATACATCGCTTTTACTTCTTCGTATGACTCTGGGTACCCTGTTATCCATGTCTCCCTGCCCATTATGGATGTGAAGCTTTCGCTTTCATTACCTTGAGTCTGATGTCTCTATCCAGATTTTTATTGGTAATTCCGTCTTTCGTGTGATAAGACGAGCTCTATTAACATTCCATGTGAATTGAAGAGGTGTCTTCGCTCTCCCATTTTTCTATGCCATACGTCCCAAAGACGCTTCCTTGTTATGGGTAGTCTGTGGTTTCCACCTCTCACAAAGGGTTATGCTAGTCTTGACAGCGAATAGCATGTATCAAACTTTCGTTCCCGAGGTAGATTTGCTTGGGTAGCTGACCAGCACAATTTTCCCGATGGACTTCGCATGGACCCAACCGGCTTCTCAGCTGAGCACATTCGCACTCCTAATAAAATATCCTCCTACACATTGTGATACGGGAAAAAGCCCGGCTTTCCTTGAAATTCCATTTGCCCTGTTGCCCGCAGGCACTCGTGGCAGTGTAGCATAGTGGTAAACGTGTGGGGATTGTATGCTGGATTAGCACAAACCGAGTTCGAGACCCGGTGGAGCTGCTGATATGACCAAGTTGGGCGAGGTCGAGACCACCGTCCATCCTGGTTGATGATAGCTTTTGGGAAGCGCGGCTATGTGAAGTTCAATAGGAATGGGAGACATAATCAACTGAATGTGAACAAAATTCAACTGCTATTCATTTAACCCCTTAAACGAAATAACATTAACACATCTCATTATAGTTATTAGAGGACCTTGGTGCTTTAATCGGTCATAGTAGAGAATCACACCTATCGAAATTAGCTAAACCCTCTTCCTGAGATAAGAAACATTTAGAACGAATAGGTGGAACCGATGAGACGAGGATTGCAGCTCCTTGGCTGTCTGTACGTATGATGTATTCCGGACAAATGTTTATGAGAAATTATTCATCCGTAAAATTGTTAAGTTTATTTGATGCTTAAAAGAAGGAGATGGACGCGCCTGGTTCTTGTTGCAATACTCATCTTGAGCCTTGGAATAGGACTTAGAGGGAGCGATAAGGCTATGCTTGTCTAAGTTTCCGAATTTCTTTTTCCCAATCCTTTCTGATATTTCTCACTTGCAAACACTTGCTTTGCTCATGCTTTGCATTGTTTTCATTTGTCTAATGATCGTGTTTTGTTTTGTACGCGTGGTTGTAGCTCGAAGTCGCCTTCCAAAATGACTGCTGCATCTATTATATTCCTTGAGGATGGTACTGTATTGACTGATGATCAGGCAGGCATTGAGATAGTCCGACGTGCCCATAGTCTGCTCTCAGAAGACCTTCGTGCAGTTTATGGAGAGGAAGTGGCTCTGCTGCCGATGCCAAACGTAGTCCAAACCGATCAACCGCTACCAGACCCTAATTCGGATCTTCCTGAGCCAAACATAAAAGGTGAAAAGATGACCGCTGCAAATAAATCACGCTTTGGCCTGAGCTCAGCCGAGCTTTGCCCACTTACGAAAGAGGAGTCTCTTAAAAGCGCTCAGATTGGGTCAAGCTTAAAATCCACTACAGCTGCTAAAGGTGACACTTTGATGTCCCCTGGTCTGGACTCTTCTCCGATTGCCAATTGCCTTAAGACCGAGGAACAAGTGCAGAATCAAGGACGTAC